TTTAAATGGAGTATAATCTATAAAAATATAGAATCACTATTGCACACCTGAAACTAATATAATGCTATAAATCAACTATACTTCAATTAAAAAATACACACACACACACACACACTATGTGAATACGACAAAAAACACAGTTCCTGCTTTAAATTCTGGTATCTCTAATTCTATGACTTTATGGCTGAGTTTTCTATAATACTTTGAGGCTTGTGAGAAATGCAATTAGATAGTTCCAAACTTGACTTTAAGATATGATCTAAACTTTCAAACAAGTGTATCAGAACCACTTGGCATGGTGTCCATCACCAGGAAACAGTGCTATAAGGGCAGATTCCATTTGGACACTGACAAATGTAATCAGTGTTTTTACTGAGCACCATGAGACAAAGTACTTTGCTTATTTTTACAATGTTTTTGCTGTCCCTGAGGCTTAGCAATACCAAATCGAGCTTATGTAAAGTGATTATCACAATGCTAAAGGCTGCCATTAGAAGAAAAGTATTCTTTAAAAATACATTATTTCTAGTACATCTATACAACACTTTACTATCTTCAAAGATATTTCACATTCAGTAGATAACATTTATCCTGTGTATAGAGAGCTGAAAGAACATGAAAAGAACAAAAGCTCAAGAAAAGCTTTTTTTCTTCCAAAATTTAACTCTTTACTAGAGAAACAGCCTATACAATTAGCAATCTAATTGCTGCTAAATTGAAGTCAAAACAATATAAGCAAGGTTTAAAGAAATGGAAACCGCTAAGAATGAATAAGATTTTCTTCCATTAAACTTAATTCTTAATAATCAGTTTAACTTTTTTTTTTCTATTATAGTAAGAACTGTATTTTCTTTTCAACTGCAAAGGAATTTTGTTGATATAAATTACACTATCACAAGTGTAATATCCCAAGTCGTTAAGGCTTTAAATGAAATAAAATTTATGCCTCAGATGTCTGTAGTAAATAATGGTAAGACAGGCTGTGAATCCACTGGAGACTCTTTCTTCACCCACGTTTCCTGTGTTCTTACGACTTTGTGGATTTCAATCCATTGGCTGAGTATAATACCTGAAATGAAGGGGACGAGGAAATTTGAAAGATAAGCTAAACTAGATCACAGTGCAAGTCAGCAAGAAGTTTAACAGCAACTCAGTTCTCATTTTCTTATAATGAAGAAGGATATAATCCAGTCTTTTTATTATGAAAATTGTTACAGGCCTAGAAGCAACAACAACCAAGTGTAGAATAGGATTATCTACTTGGTCAATAGGATTCCCTATAACCAGAACAATAATTGTGGATTATCCACATGGAACCAACTTTGTTATACAGAATGCTTATTTTGTTGCGAAGGGAATCTACATGTGGCACATCACTTTCAAACAGCATTAAAAGTTCGTAGTTTTTATTAGCTGCAGTAGTGACTTTGAAGTGGCTACCTGAATAGTGATCAAACCCTCAGAACGTCTTCTCTACTACCTTTTCTTATCAAACAATCCCAAGTTCAAAAACCTGGAATCCCAACAAAAAATAAAGTGACACTCTAAAGAGAGAATACAGTGTTAGTTTCTGAAATTTTATTATTTTTAATACATACATTTCACAAACAGAAACCTTCTAACACCACACAATTCCATAACCAAATGTTTCAATTTTATCAACATTCTTTAACTATTTACACTGTCTTCCCTCAACAAAAGTGCAATCCAAGACATTTGACAAGAAATCTTCACTGATAAGAATACGTTTTTGAGCTGGTGTTAATGATGCCCATTCATTATATTTTCTTGCAATTACCTGGAATAATAATAAAGTCAACAGGACACAGAGATGAGCTGGGTTAGGCAGCAACCTTTTATAGGAAACAAAACACTGAACAAGAGCACTTTCTCCTCACCTCCTCCCCAACCTCCGACTAAAATCACCCAACAGCTGCTACCATGAGACTAAAGAGAAGAGCAACCTGGAGCTACTGACCTGGGCACGGGAGCAGAGACTGCATGTTAAGCATTGATCTTACAGGACAAAACAAAAGATTTCAGCAGGTTAGTTTGGGTGATCTAATAAGTTACGTATCAGTTTAATCTGTTAGTTTTAGGACTTAAACACCTAATAATATTTTCCTGATGAGTTAATTTCCCCCCAGACAGATACGAAAATACTTTTTACTCAGAAAATGAATGAGCTTCTACAAAAACTGAGAATTAAAGACTGTTTGGGGAAAGTTCTTTCTTAATTACGATGGGATAATTCACCCCACTCCCTAACTTCACAGCAAATGTCTATCTTTTAAGGTGTAAACCCAGTATATCAACTGCTTCATGCGCACCCAGAAGAGAGTAAAGAACTGAGCTGGCCTGAGGAGAAGACGAGATGATCAGAAACAGTCTTCCCATTAAACTAAAGCAGGTAATTTTATTTGTTCAAGGTATAACTCTTAAAACTAAAACAAGTTAAAGTAGATAAAAATCACTTATTAGCCACTCATGAGTAGGTTCATGTTACTGAACACTATTTATCAGAAAAACAGAAAGTGGACCTCTTGGGTGACTAATACCCTTTAATATCCAAACCACAACGAAAATAATCATCTTTTCTGATATATTCCAATTCCCATCAAGGTACTCAGAGCAAAGTACTTTGAGAAAGTGTGGAGAACATATTAAGGTCAGCAGATTCCAAAGTGAAATTTATTCTTCACATGGCTGCATACTCAATTACAGTTTATTCTCACATCAGCCAAATTTTCCATTTTAGACAAGAACGCAATGCCTTAAAGGCAAAAGATACTCTTGGATATGATACCTATGCCTCTCCTTTTATATCAATTCAGCATCCATAGAATCCTCACTTAATCATCAAAATAAATGCCCAAAGCAAATTGTACTCACTTACAGTGAAACTTCCTCATACTTATTTCTCAGAGTAGACAATATGAGGAGAAAATAGTGAATGCATCAGATGCTACACCTGCAGAAGTTTTAGGCTGAGGAGCTTTGCTGAATGTGATCTACATGTAAACTTGAAGCTTCAGAACAACAATACAAGCAGGTTTCTCTTTAGAAATTGAGGTGGGTTAAAGAACAAATATTTTACTATTCATTTTAAATTCAGAAATAAAATCCAATGGTCCTCTGAAGACAAGAGAAACTCACCCATTTTTATAACTGGGTACATGAGAGAATCAATAGCGAACAGCTCATTCAGTTACAGCTTTGTGTATTAAAGACAAATTTGCAAGGGACGTGTCCTATAGACCTCTTTTCCTTGCATCAAATACTGTGAGAGCAATGACAATTTGCTGCTTCTTACAGACATTCAGCATCTCCCCTCACTGTGATACTCTTCAGATCATCAAGCATCAAACGGGATGTTGTCAGCCGAATTACAATCATGCAAACCGAAAGATAAAGAATATTAGTCAATCTCTCACAGTCAGCTGTGCTCTTTCAAACAAAACATCAAATATTCCATGCAGCAGAACTGAAACTCACTTGCAATGATGCCTAAACACTTCTGAGAGGAAAAACAACTGTTTTTCTGAGGAAGAAAAATGGTATAAACGAAATAATAGAAAATATTCACATAACCCCAAATTTAGCTACCCATAAAAGGATCATACATTCTTTTAGCATATATGTGTATTATAGTTGAAATTATCAAATTCATTTTTGAGAAATCATATTCCAATTCCAGTGCTCTAAAGGTATGGGGTGCCAGTCTACTTAAATCAGAAAGCTCTAATAAACAGAAGGCTGGGACTTTGGAAAGCTCAATGCTCTGACCAATCAAGTTCTGTAAAGTACCATCTTCTTCACCAATGGTAAGGTATCATGGGGATCTTCAGAATAATCTATTTTCAAACATATTGTTATGCATTATAATCAGTGATTTCCCAAAATGAAACACTTTAAAAAGAAATACTAAAATTATTCTTTTCCTCCAAAGTTCACAAATAGTTTTTTCCTTTCCTTCTTAGGGCAAAATCTTTGATTTGGGAAACGCAGCATTAAAGGGGTAAAATGCAGCCATAAGCAACTTGGGGGGAAGATAAGTGTGGCAATTGGTTCTGAAACTCACCAGTTAGGGTCTGTGGCTGTGAGATTTACCTGTGAGAAGGATCTGACATCAAATGGCACCTCGACAGTGCAGCCTATATAAATCAGTACCGCTCAAATCATGTTATTCTTGGATTCTCCTTAAGAGCTTGTTTGACCAACTTCAAAGACGCAGTTCAAATGACAGCGTTCTGCCTTTTTGCCCTCTTGAGTCAGTCTGCATCATTTCCAAATTCATTTAGCATGTTCTCTTTGTTATAGGTCAGCTTACCTAAAAATATATACTTTCATATGCCTTGTAATTTGGATATTATTTTCAGTATGAAAACTGGCTGCTAAACTACAACAGGGATAGAATCAGGGCTCATGTCCACCTTCCAATGATCTGTCAGTGAGGGGAAACTGCAGGCCAGCATGCACTGCGGAACGCCAAACCAAGGTGGACAAACACACCATCAGCTCTCCAGGCACAGATTACATTCACTTGTCACGTGTGTTTCCCAACACATGTGAAATACCAACTGTGCCAACCTTTTAATTCAACCAGAGAAGATCTAAAAGTGGGTCTTTAGACAGTTAACATTTTAGTAAGAGTTTCTTCCCAACTCTTATCGTGCTCTCAGTTTATGACCACATAATCCCTTTCCTAAATTCACCCCATCTTCCCCACCACCCTAAAAGCTGCCCGACAGACTCTTAGTGATAGTTAACCCCTCCCCCAAGCTCACAGGAGTACCGGCTGGGCTCTGGTCATGACCACAGACTAACACTCGGGAGTCAAGAGAAGGCAAGGGGCAGCCCCCCTTTTAGTGGCACACATACACAAAGGAACTCTCCTTTCAATTAGAAAAGAAATGAATGTCACAGAAGGCTTCCCTAGAAAAGATATGTAATAAAGTAATTATATCAATAAAATAGCTATTACTAAAGCAAAGCTTTCATCAATAAGCTTCGAGAACTTTGAAGGAGGAAAATGGCTTCACGAAGTGGTAGTCCAGGTTGCCACAGTGTGGACACTGCTGGACGTTGCTGTACTCGGAGAAATACTGCATCCCAATCCGCACGTCGATCACTGGCTTCCCGCAGTGCTTACAGTTCAGGCGGGCCTGGGGGGGGGGGGCCACAAGATGCCGTGAGCCACAGACCCCCCTCCCTCACAGCGCGGCCAACGCAAAATCAACGAAAACGG